GTCTAGAATTTTGGAAGCAAATAGAAGTATGGAAGACAAGATTGGAGAAGAAAGAGAGGGCAGTATTGGGGAGGTTCTGGTCAGAAAAAATACTGGTGTTGTATTAAATTCCTATTATGTAATGTATTCACATGAATATCTTTGGTAGGGTGGGAAGGAAGGACAGAGAACTTGAGGGGAAAAAGAGTAAAAAAAAAATCACAGCAGAGGAGCACACTGGATACTGATTAAAGTGAACTATATAATTCATGAGTGGAGATAGGAGGGAGGGACTGGAGAGAATGCAGGAACAGAAGAGACTATACAAATGGAAATGTATGCATTACCTGATATACCACTGTATATCAGCCCTATAATAACAAAAAAACTAAAGATTTTATTTGTCAAAAGACATCTTGTATATACATTTTTTTTTATTTGGGGAGGGGAAGAGAAATAAATAATGAAATAAGGATACAGGTTGACCCACTGTAACAATGAGATGTGCAAGACACCATGATAAAAACGAACTTTTTTTTTTTTATTGTGAAAATACTGTATAGAGGGGTTACAATTACATGGGCGAGATAATGAGTACATTTCTTATCAAGCATTGTTGCCTCCTCCTTTGTTTCCCCTTCCCATCCCTTGCCAGCCCCGCCTCCGCACCTCACCCCCCCAACCCTCACCCCCCGACCCCCCCCCACCCCCTCCGCCGTGCCAAAGATATATAGTTCATTTTTGACATAGGATCTTGTACATCTCATTGGTGCAATGGGTCCAACTGTATCCCTATTTAAACAATTTGTTTTTGTCCCTTCCCCTCCACAAATTTATACCAACATCAAATACAGTGAAAACAAGGGTTATACTGTGGGGGAGGGACATACAAAGCAACAAAGAAATATCTTATAAATATGTTAGAAAAAAAAACATTTGAGTCCTTAACTTGGGGTTCATTTCGCTTAACATCAACTTATCTGACCATTTCTGCTTGTCTCAGACATATACTAGTTTTGCAAATAAGAGAAAACATGGGACCTATGTTTCTTTGGGCCTGGGTTACTTCACTTAATATAATTTTTTCCAAATCTTTCCATTTCCTAATAAATGGGGCAATGTCATTCTTTCTGATGGAGACATAGAATTCCATTGTGTATATATACCACATTTTCTTGATCCATTCATCTACTGAGGGGCATCTGGGTTGGTTCCATATCTTAGCTATGGTAAATAATGCTGCAATAAACATAGTTGTTCTGGTAGCTTTAGTATGGTCTTGTTTGTGATCATTTGGGTAAATGCCCAAAAGTGGGATTGCTGGGTCATAGGGGAGCTCTATGTGGAGTCTTTTGAGGTACCTCCATACTACTTTCCAAAGTGATTGAACAAGTTTACACTCCCACCAACAATGCAGTAGGGGGTCCCTTCTGTCCACATCCTCTCCAGCATCTGTTGTTATCAGAGTTCTTGATTATAGCCATTCTAACTTTGGTGAGATGGTATCTCAATGTGGTTTTAATTTGCATTTCTTTTATGGATAGAGAGGTTGAGCATTTCTTCTTGTGTCTATTGGCCATACCCCAACAACAAATCTCAAAAAAAAAACTGCCAGATAAATAAGTGGGTTAAAGACTTAAAGACAAACTTCTCTGAAAAGGAAAACAAACTTTACAACTTCAGGGGCCGGGAGGGAGGAGTTGAGGAGATGAGAAAAGGAAGGGATGTTAGGGGAAAAACTAAGGAGGAGGTAACAATGATGGATAGGAAATGTACTCATTACTCATGTAACTGTAACCCCTCTGTACAGTATCTTTACAATAAAAAAAATACAAAAAAGACAACTGCCTAAAATGAGACATTAAATTCAAAACTTGAGGCAAAATTACTTGTAGAAAAAAGTAGAAAACACTGCTTGATGAGGAAAGAGGAAGAATTAATGTGTTGCCACTGGAAATGGAAAACAGTGACTAGTACCTGAGTTTTACTTCAGGGGTTAAGTTGAAACCTTACTGAAGTAATCAATATAGGAAATACTGGAAATAAGTAGGGGCAAAGATGACACAAACATGTTCCATTTTAACATTTGAGAATAGGATTGCAATTTTTTATTGTTTCTTATGCTTGGCCAACAATGAGTGAATGCATTTTCCCACAGCAAAAGCCTGCATTTGTTTTCTAGTTGATCTTCAGAAAGAGCAGAACATCCCAGGTTTAATGTCTTTGAAAACACTCATTAGAGATAGTTCTATTATTTCTTTCTGAGGTTTAAATCTTACCCACTTAACGAGATTATTAAAGAATATATGTCTTGCTGTTAGCTTGATGACAACTCTGCAGACATAAGCCACTTTGTTCATTCAAATGGTGGTATTCATATTCTGCACATGGCAACAAATTGGATATTGGAAACAGGTAGGATCCTAAGAGGCTAGAGATTTTAGGCACGCAAAATAAGGAATTTGTGAAATAACCAGAACAGTCAAGGGTGAAATTAAATAGATTATATTAACCCATATCCAATGTATGTGTGTCAGCAGCTAACCTCTTTCCTAGAGCAGACAGATTATTCATAATCAATAGAGAAGAGGATCACAATCCTTCAAATTGCTTTGTAGTCTTTGCTTTGATCTCAATTAAGGTATTTTACATACATAATATATCTTTTGCTACTCCATCCCAAATTACTTTCTTTGCAAGACAATTTTAAATATGCTTATTATTAAAATACTTTTGCACATTTCAAAACTAATTAATTATACTTTCATGAATTCATTATTTCAAAACAAACACTTTGGCTGTTTTGAGTAATGTTATTAATAGATTATTTTTATATGTCTTGCTAACTTCTCTTCATTAGTATTTTGAGTCTAAAAAATGAAAAAAATAGTTCTCCCATTATACATGGAAATACTTTATTGGGGAATTTGGAGCCTACTAGAAGAGTAAGGATGTAGTCAGCTAAGGGTAAGGTCTGTGTGTGTGACTGAAGCTTTAACTCTTTCTGCTCCTAAAGGAGCTACAGAAATTTCTGGGCTATTCTCAAGGAATATATTTGATGGACATTTGTAGCTACATACAACAAAATTCAAAAATTATTCTGTTAGGAGCAGTTTTTCTTATTTTGCCAATGGGGTTTATTAATCCAAAGGAATACAGTGTATCTTTAGGAACACAGCAAGAGGTTTTCAATCTAGAACGACAACATTAAAGGTTCCTACCAGAAGTGACTACTTGGCAGAAGTAGGAGGAGAAGAATCAACTAGAAGAAGAAGGGAAAATGGACTTCAAGTAGATGTTCTAGCAAATATAAATTCAGTTTGATATGATTAGAGAAAAAATAAACAAGTACAATGGGAATAGTAGGGGACTAGGCAAGGCTAGGGCTGCTCTTTCATCAGAGCGTTGTTTGGTTTAGTTCTGTAAAGTTTATTCTAAAAATTATTAGTAAATAACTGGAAAAAATGTTACAAGATTTGCACAGCCACAGTCTCACAGCAATGAGGCTAAGAAAAATGTCTACAATATTTATATTCGACATCCTCCTTTACTTGTTTCACTTTTCTCCTGCCTGTGCACAAAGCCACCAGTTTATTATCTAGTCTAATAATATTCATTCTAATGTTCATTTTGTCTACTACACCAAATGATGATATGGTCTTAATTATGGTAATAGATATGTGTAATATGAATAGAACAGTCTTGGAAACTAAGAGTTCTATGCAATACAACAAAAGTATGAGTGAGTAATGAGTTTAAGAACTGACCATGATTCTTTTTTGCTCTTTTTCATAAGTTACTACCTTCTTGACACGTATTTATACTCTTCACATACATACATTGTCTTTGTCTTCTTTTAGTCATCTGTGTTATTAAATTTATTCAGTAATTGACAACATATACAAGGTTGTACTATACATGTAGCATGGCTGTGTGTATCTTTGTTTTCCTGTGTTCTATTCTTTTACTAAGATCCTTGAAGAAAAAGGTTGCATCTTTGTATTCTCATGAAGTATGTAAAAGTAATCTACATGCTACTATACTGATTAGATTAAATGCAGAAAAGTTACTTTTGAATAAGCAAGTGAAGAAAAAAACAATAATATATTTTTTAAGATAACAGGGGAAAAGATCAATTTTAACAGGTTACATAGAATAGAATAGGTGAAATATCTAAAACTAAAAATAGAGCAATTTGTCTACAATAATGAATCTAGGAAAGAAATCTTTCTTAAAACTGCAAATTATATTCCAAGAAAAGTAAGTGGTGCGATAGAACTGAAGATATTTTTATTGTTATCTTTAAATAGTTACATAAGAGAGTTTCAGGTGAGTATTTCAATATATTTGTACATTTATGTGTATTTGTGATATATATAGTCAAATATAGATACATATATATCATACAGGTATGTATGATATTTCTCTCTATATATTCATGACCCAGGCCTATTAATTTCATTTTGTATATCCTCAGAGAGTGCTTTATGTCTCAGAAATCTATATTTCAATAGTTTTCAGGCAAAGCCAGTACATTTTAATCAAATTATCTTTTAACTATCATTATCATTGTACCTTTTGATAACTATTTTTATGTCTATAGCTATGTTACTCTTAGTAAAGTGATATCAATATTTGAAAAAGCCTGTCACTTCTGATTGACAGGCGCTATTTCTTCTGATCTTATGAACATAAATATAATAGTCTCTTTATACATAATTTATATTCATATTTTTGTAGGAAAGGTCTTTTATATTATTTCCTACTGATTTAAAATAGTTTCTGAAATGCTTATCATGTACATTATAAAGTTATTTTGCTAACATACAAGAATTACACAATCTGATTGAAAAAATTTATATATTGTTTCTCTGAAAATCATCAGGCAATGTTTATTTGTATATAATGCTTTTAATAAATCTTTATACCCCTTGCTAAATATATGCCTATATTCTTTCTTCCTTCCTTTCTTCCATTTTTCTGATCTGCTTCCATTGATGCCTCTATACTTTTGACTCCAGACTGGCAATATGAGGGTAAGATGACAAAACAAAACTCCCAAGCAACCTCATGAGCATTGCTTGTCTGTTTTTGTTTTATTCTTTTCAGAGCATTATTAAAATTCTCTTCACTCTCTTTAACTAGACCCTTTATCACAATTAAAGTCCAATTATGTTGTTTCTATTGTGAGGCTTTAATTACAATTTATCTTTGTTAATCATTCCTTTATGTTACTTCTTTGGGTTAAATTACCATCCCATTATCTGTGTCCTGAAGAACTTCTCTCCAGTGTTCTCTGCTGGTGTTTCTTCAGAACAATTTGAGTTTGTTTGTCCTTTTTTTTTTTTTTTACTTCATAAAGATATTGTATTTTGCTATGGCAATATTGTAGAGTTTATAGAAAATACGTTTAAAATAGAGTATTAAAATAACGATATATGTTAGTGTGATTGTTCAATTTTTTTGATAAACATCAAAATGTCCATCGCAGTGTATTTAACCTCAGGGTGAGTGTTCCTGCAATTGTCAGTTCTTACTGTGATTCTTTCTGCTTCTAGATTGCAAACTAGCCAGGGGAGGACCACCAGCTACCATCGTTGCTATTGATGAAGAGAGTAGGAATGGTGAGTAAGTTTTGCTTTTTTACCCATGTCTTAACACAGACTTTTTAAAATATATATTTCAGCCTTTGTTTGCCATAGGAATGCTAAAAAGAGAGCTTCAACCCCAACTTCAACCCCAATTTATAACCAGTTCCATTCTGATTTTTCTGTTTTATTGAGAAGGCTTGATTTTGGTAGCATTAGGAAACTCTATGAAATAATGTTTGATTTAGGCGGAATTACTTGATTGTCATTCAGACCAAACATGCATCCCAATATATTCTGGGATATTTCTTTGTTAATAGCTAAAGTTTACAGATGTGTGAAATATTCTGCTTCTCCAGAAGGTAAGTCTAACATTACTTATTTAAATAATCTTGAATCAGGTAAAGATTAAGACTCAAAACTGAGAAGACTTAGTGAATGAGAATGGTTAACAGGAAACATGAATATTCTGAAAAGAAGGAATAAAGCAATACTGAGACTTGAGATTTTCACAATGCTAGACATTAATGTCTAAATAAAATTCTTTAATTTTCTAGCAGGAAAATTGTTCTCGCTTTCATCTCTGTTTCTACTTCAAAGTATTCTGTGTGTGAATGTGGTCTGTGATTAATTTTGTCACTGAGCCCTGTGATGGATCTTCCATTGAATTGGTTTGATTTCCTACTTCTCTTTTTAAACTGCATTCTTTCATATATATATGCATATATATTTATTATATGTTTCATATATATATTAGAATAGGAGTTTTGTCAAATGTTTTTAAGAAAATAGCCTTTTTCCTACATATACTGAAAACCTTATTGACTGCTTCAGTTCATGTCATCATAGATTTATTTTGTCACATGATAGATACCTCCTTTAGTCATTTAACAATTGGCATAAACTTTTCTTTTTGAAATGTTCTTTGTAGTCAACCCCAAATTCCATAAACAGATAGCTTCCATTTATACAAGTTTAAGTGGATATGCTAAAATACTTTAATATTAAATATCATAAAATTTGAGTACCTTGCTCATGTAATTGTAACCCCTCTGTATGGTATTTTCACAATAAAAAAAAGAAAACTAAAAAAAAAAAATTTCAACTTCAAAAACAAACTCAATCCCATTATATACAAATATATATAATATATATAATTATATATGAACATATGTATATATTCAAAAATATAATTATATATGAATATATATAAATTTCTGACATTTAAATAGGTTGGACACAATCCTAAATGGACCTGTATATATATATATATATATATATATATATATATATATATATATATATATATATAATATATACATTTCAACACTGCAATAGGAGCAGATTCTCATATAGATCTATGTTTTGCTTATGGTTAAAGCCTTTTTAATCAAAAAATTCTATTTTTTTAGTCTTCTCTAAGAAAATGTTGAATTATCATCAGAAACCAAAAACCAACGAGCATGCATTTTCTCTTCTCAGTTTTAATCAATTCCTTGAAATTAAAAACTGAGCTGAAATACATTTCGATTTATATTTAAATAACTTTATTTAATATATAAATCTTTAGAGACCTTATATTGGCAGCCATACAGTTAAGCCACAGTCCCCCTTGGTGTGGCTGATATTGTTGGGGAAAAGAAGGAGAATGGTAAAGGAATAGACCGCACTCGTTCCTCAACATTAGACTGTTTATTGAGGAACAGCGAGGAGCGCAGACCTTCCTGCGGGTTTGGAGGTTGTGCAAGGGATTGGATTTTGGGGTGGGCTTATATAGGGCTTAACAAGGAAGCAGAGAATAAAAACTGGGCTATGGTCTCCTTGGGATCAAGAGCAATGTCTTTGGCCAGGCCCACAGTGGAACGCTGTGGGGGAGCGGGGGATGGGGGGAGGCGGTATTGTCAGGGGGTCAAGGGCAGAATGACCTGCCTGCAGACAAACACGTAAACACGTGAGCACATACCTGGTACTTTGCTTGACCCTGGGAAATAAGGCAGGACTCGATCTTTCCTGTTCTATCTTTAGACCCATGAAAAGCTTGAGCCTAGAGGGGAGAAGCAGATCTTTCAGATCTTATCAGTCAAGTGTGAGAACTCTGCAGGGATGTTTCTGTAACTTTACTGTAGAGGAGCATGTGGGAAAAGCTCAGTGTTTTTGTTTTAGAAAAATGTGACATGACAGAACATAATGTTATGCTCCTTGCTTGGCATATTTTGTAGAAACTGCCAACTACTCAGGAAGCTGCCAGTATCTTATTGTCATTACAAGGAGTATAAATAAAGACATACAGAAGGAATGTTTTACATCTTCCTTTTCCTATAAAATTTCTAAAATGTAGTGATCAAATGAACTTCTGCAGATATTAAAATGCAGTAAGTATTCTTGTCTTCAAAGCCTAAACAAAATACTTCATGAAAATGATTTTCTTATTCTTTTTTTAAAACAATCTAAGAATGTGACAATAAGACAGTTATTTCTAGCCCTGTTCTCGAATTCTCATTTCTCCTTCCTGTTTTAATTGCTAGTGAAAATATGTGTGTGTGTGTGATCTATTTTGCTAGTAAGTTGAGCACAAATTTTGAAGGCATTTGGGCCTTCTTAAAAAATAGACAGAAAATTCCATGTTAAAGCAGAGTAGTGAGTCCACAGTCGGGTTTATATCATTGAATCACTTTAGTGACACCTATTGCTAAATAATCTCTGATATTAAATAAATCAATTAAAATGCTCAATTTTGATGTTTCCTACATAGTTTTCTCACATAATTCAGAGTTACATTAATGGAAAGTCTTTTCTAAATCTTTCAAAAAGTGATACCTTGTGGGATTGCAATAGTTATTTTTTTTTCTTGAAAGGGTTACAGGTTTAAAAATCTGGTATATAGATCTACAAACATCTCAACTACATAAAAAAAAAAACTGTGTCACACATGAATAATTACTATTATAGTAAATGATTCTTTTCATGAACAGAATATTTAAATTCCAGATCATTAAGGCAATGCTTCAATCTACTATTCCATTGAATAACAGCAGAGTGGACAAGAATGGACATTGTAACATACATAAAGCTCCTTTTATTTTTAACCTCATAGAAAAAGAGATTCTCCAAGCTTTCTTCTCTAGAGGAAATTGCTCTTATTAAAGAGAAGCCATTTAAATTTAAATATTAACTTCTTTTATCAACAAAACCAAACCAATCGATGTAATTGAGATGGCCACCAGGGTTTTGATGATAATACAGATCATAAAGACAAAAGAAGTAAATTGAAATGATATGTCGTAAAAGGCAAAGATTCATGCTCATAGAGAAAGCCATATCACTGGATGACATGTCATCTAGTGACAAGGGAAAGGTCTGAAGGGAATTCTTTTTTTTTTCTTTCTATATCCACTATGATGTTTATGTTTATATTGTATAATTGCTCTGGTCAATTAGGGTGTCCTTGATAGAAACTGGGATCTAGAGGAAGCATCAAAGCTCACCAACTACTTTTGCAATGCAGCTCCTAGGGGTTGTCTGTGTGTTGTGTGGCTCTGCTCTTCCTCATGCTCATGCTTTGAGATTAGATTTCACAGTTTTCTGTCACTGGGTATTTATTTTACAATTGTTTTAAGCATAAGGAGTTCTAACACAACTTCTATTTCTCATGAGCAAATCTTGGCTGAGAAATTATTGATTTTTGTTTCTCAGGCAATTGGACTGTGAGCTGTCTTCGTTAACACAGAATGCCTGAAATGGGTCACAACACTTACCTTTGGGCAGAGAGTAATAATCAACAGTGTAATGGCTCTCAGCAATCACTGGATGAAAATAGTAATTTCAGAAATAATCTGAAATGTTTTTTGTGGACTTAAAATGCCTCCTACAGTAATTTTCAAAACAGAATTGTAAGTGCCAAATGTTCTGAATTGGAAATATAAGTAATTCCTTTAAATGTAAATACACTTTGTGGATTAAGGAATGTTAAAATACTCATCCACTGATAGCTACTTAATAAAATTCTGCAGTATGCAATGCATCTTGCATTTATTTTAGTGGTAGAGGTGGAACAAATACTACATAGTTAATTTTTATAATAGATACTAAGGTATGTTGTAATAATAAAACAGATTGAGGAACTGCTCCTCAATCTGATGGATATGTACCATCAAACTACCCTAAACTTCAAAATGGGTTTCTTAAATACAATGTTGATTTACAGTTACATTTTAGATTAAAGGCACTTTCCTTTAAATCTATTGAAACTCCTTGTCTTTGGTAGCTATCAACATCTTAAAATCTTCCACTACAACCACCTGGCATTTTGCTTTTGAATTAGAGACAGTCTTAAGAGAGTTTCTCTTTACTGCCCAGCTGTCTTCAGGCTTTCGTGTTCCTGTCTCAGCCTCCTGCGTAGCTACAATTACAGGGGTGAGCCACAGGAGCCTAGCTATCCCCCCTCCCACACACATTCAACATTATGCTGTCTGTTGATTTTTTATTTCTCTGTCTCAGGTGCTGAAATAATAAGTATGAAATTTTCATTCTCCTTTTGTTTTAAACCACTATGTAAAGATTTTTCAAAAGCCAAAAAATTCTCTCTCCTGAAGATGAGAACCTTTAGAAACAAGTCTATTCTATCTTGAGCATGAAAAATATCTTTTTTCCTACTTTTGCCTTTCTTGGCATTTTTCTCATTCTTATTTTCTTAGGAAATATACAAATCCTGACTTGATCTGTAAAATCAGTGTGTACAGGTACTTTGGTAGAATGTAAGTGAAAGAAGAGCAGAGACATCACTTGCTTTTTCCCCTATCCTGCTACAATCTCTGACAACCACAGAACCACGATTTCCATCATCACTCATTCATTTTTTTATTCACTACTCAATCATTTATTTATTACTCTCTTCACATTCTAGTTAATGATACCTCCTGACACCTTACTACGTCAGGCTCTGTTGTAGAACTTCCAATGTATCCGGGAGCCAAAGGAACACAAATAACAAATAAGCAGCCAAAGGCAAATGCAAGGTAGGAAAAGGGATGTGTAAT